GCCAATTCCAACTAACATGCTACCTCTTCTGGGCATATGCTGGGCTTGGCTTAAGAGCATGTGGAGTTTAAAGTAAAGTGCCAGGCTTTTTTGCTTTTTGTTTAATGTCTGCAAGCAGCCCTTGTGGTCACTGCTACCCAAGTTGCCATCCACTTCTACACTGCCCACCAATTCTTCCATCTGTGAGCAGCAGGTCAAGAAGAGCACATCTCTTAGTTGGTCTCTCCAACATTTGTACCAGGAAGTTGTCCCCAACACTCTCCAAAAACTTCCTGGATCTCCTATGCACTGCTGTATTGCCAGCAGATGTCAGGGTGATTGAAGTCCCCCATGAGAACCTGAGCCTGTGGTGGAGAAACTTCCACTACCTGTTTAAATAAAGTCTAATCCACCTAATCCTGCTGATCTGGTGGCCTATAGCAGACTGCCACCATGCCATCACCCTTGTTGCTCTCCCCTCTGACCCTAACCCAGAGACTTTTGACAGGCCTATCTTCAGTTTCACACTGGAGCTCTGAGCAATCATACAGCTCTTCTACATAAGGCACTTCTCTTCTCCCCTGCCTGTCCTTCCTGAACAGTTTACACCCATCCATGACAGTGCTCCAGTCACGTATGCTATCCCAAGTCTCTGTTATTCCAACCACGCCATAGTTCTGTGACTGTGATGACTTCCAATTCTTCCTGCTTATTTCCCAGGCTCCATGCATTCATGTACAGACACGGAAGATAACTAGCTAACTGCCCTTTATCAAGAAGAATGAGAAGGCCCTCCCTGTTGCCCCTTCCTGCTTGTGCTTCCTCCAGGTCTCACCTGGTCACCCACTTCCCCACTTACCTCAGAGCTTTGGTCTCCATTCTCTGGCAAATCACTTTTAAACCCTCACAGCTAAAACTGTATTATAACTATGGCTGACAGGAAGCCTTTATCTTCATATTTAAAAACTGGTTTTAAAAAGGCACTCCGGCAGTGAATGCATGCAAAGGAAAAAGAGAACCCTTCGATTTGACTGCATTTAACACAAATAAACATCTTTTATTAAAAATATGACATTTATTAGTTACAAATATGACATATTTACAAACAAATCAAAAGAGTAGACATTGAGTCATCTTCTGCTTTTGATTTAACTTGGATTGAACTGATTTTACAGAATTTAGCATAATCTGCTTTTAATTTCCAGACACAGAGAGAGGATATGCATGGTGGTTATAAATAAACATATGAACATAACCAATCACAAAGTATATGCATGCAGTTGAAATACTCACTTAGCACTGTGTAAGTTATTGTCGATTCTTGAATGAACTGTAGATCTCTCTCAGACTCTTCTTTTATTACCTCCATCAATGTAGCAAGCAGCTGTAGCCACTGAAAACATAATCTCGGGATCACAGAACCTGGCAGAAAGACCCTGGGACTGTACTGCTTCCTCAGCTGTATCTTGGTCTGAGGGAGATTTTCTGGTTGGTCCCACTACTATCTATATTGATAACTGTAGATCTCTCTGACAATATTGATGCCACATGTAACCATTTGATTCTTCTGATCTCTGCGTTCACTTGACTTAAGTGACACTGTAAGCATTTCCACTTTGTTAAGAATGGAAGCTCTGTACACAAAGTGTGTGACAAATACCATTCAATGCAAATATTAAGAGAGAGAGAGGGTGGGGGAGGGAGACAAACAGAGAGACAAGCTCTTTCATACCTCTGTGTGTTGAAGATGCAAATAAATGAACTCCATAATAGGTACCAACTGTTCTTGCATATACAGGCAAGCCCTGCTTAACGTTGTTTCCCTTAGCGCTATTTCACTATAACGCTTGTTTTACATTGAAACCTGATTCCACTTGGTACACAGTGAGTTTTCTTATAACGCTCAAGGGCACTGTACAGCTGGCAGCAGGTTTTGCTTAATGCTATTCCACTTAATGCTTGGTTTTTTGGGAACCAGTTAAGAGTGCTAAGTGGGGGTTGCCTGTACTTTTTCTTTCATATCAAATAAAATCCAAAAGGTATCTACTCCCCCAGTACAGAAGACAGCAAACAATGTTTGCAAGGGAAACTAAATGGTCTCTCTTTGAACCTAAGTACCTCCCCTCATAAGAGCAAACTTATTTTTCCTTCAATAAATTATTTATTTGCTGGAATTTACAGACAAATATTTTGGCTATTTTTTCAAAAATATCTGTACATTTATGAAAAACATAACAGAATATTAGGCATGTTAAGGTGGATATTCTAAATGACTCTACATTCTTGTTGTTTGAAGAAGTAAGATACAGAAATAGTAAAACCATCAAAACCACAGGTTAATGATATATTCTACACGTGAGGTTAACATGTATAGCACTGCAACTTATATTCAGCCAGAAAGCATATGCTTATTTAAAAAAAAAAAAAAACACAACAACTTTCTAATCGGATAAAATACCATTTTAAAAAAAACTAATAATCCTAACAAATTTAACCAAACGATACTTCCAAGTATATGGAGTCACCTAATAACATATTTACCTTAACCATACTTACATACATACATACATACATACATGCAAGAACTCAATTTCAATAACATCCAAAGAGAATTTAAAATGTTAGCTGTATTTTTTCCCTGAGAACAAACAGAAACTACAAATTATCTTTTACGGGAGAGTTTGCTTTACTATTACAGGCAGGATCACATCACAAACAAATCCCTTCAACTGCTAGCGGAATAATTATTGGGTTAAGTGTCATTTACAGATTTACACTTCTGGGAATGATAACTGAATAAAAAACTAGGAGCTATAATTCAAGAGATATTACTGCAATACAGTTCATCATGGCAGGTCAAGTGCCACCTAATACAAAAGAAGGATTACAAAGAACTATAACCAGAATGCCAGATCTTTATAAGGCCCTTTGAATGTAAACTGTAAATGATGTATGCTTCACTGCAAAATATTTACTGCAGCTGACAAAAAAGAGTCCAATTAAGAGAACTAAAATATATATACTTTTCAGATAAAGACAAAATACTCAGAAATAAGTTGGCTGATCAGTAACAATTTCTGCCATATGTAAATTCAGCACCAAAAAGTATGAATAAAATTAGAGTACACAAAGAACACTGGACAACCAGAAAATAACGGTACAAAAGAATCAAAAGAAGGAACAAAACAAATATATTTGCTACTCCAATGCCTAACATATGTATAGTATGGAAGAAAAAGAAAAACTTCCTCGGTTTATTACAAAATTAGACTTTCTACTAGAAAACAAGCATGAAAACTCTGCATACACTTGTATGAAAGATAAGAGATGGTAGAAACAACATGCTATATAGAAGCCTGCCACCAAATTAAGAACCCAGAGTGACAAATAGGCATGAGATAAATTCTTAAGCATGGTATGAAGCCCTAGCCTGGGCAGATGTTTGATAGAATCTATCTGCCTTTGACAGAAACCAGAGATTTCTGTACTTTTCACACTTTGACAACAATGGTATGACTTGTCATACCAATTAAATATTACACAACTGAACAATTCACTTATGGATAGGCTTCATTGTCACCAGAGAAACATTTTACACAATGGGATGTAACATGTCTTTACTATTAGAGTCAATATCATGTCTTTTGTATTTTGTACAATTAAGAAAAGTTTTAACTGGGCCTATCTGCTGAGCTACAAAAGAAGCACTTACTAAAAAGAATAACTAAAACATGAGTCTGATTTGACAAAATGTTAATTTTAAAGTTCAGTTAAATGAAGAAGATCAGTTAAATGAAGAAAAGATGGGACATTGGCTGGTATTGTACCACTATTGTTACCATTATCAAAGATAAAGTAGATGTTTTAAATTGCACATGCAACTATTCCATCATTAAGCAAAATCCAGATGCATTTCCAACCAAATATTCTTCAAATATTTTATTAATCTTAGCATTTAATTTGTTATGAACAAATCATATTTATGCAAGTTAGTTTCTGATGACATATTTAAACTGTAATAAGAAAAATAAGTTAACTTTACATTTAAAACCATTCCAGTCCATTATGCTGTATTATTAGCATACTGTAATTTTCCTAAGTTTCTCAATTCTCAGCATTGTTAAGCTATACACGGTGATAAAATATTTAAAGAAATAATAAGACTCTCACACTGATGGTTCACATGATTTAAAAGTGTTGTCAATTAAAAGTGTATTTAATGAAACAGCATGTTTGCATGTGTTCCTTTCACTCCCATTTATAGGAACTTAGCTTTTACAGCCTACTTCCAATAATTTATAGTTTTAACCTAAGATCAGAATACTGGCATAAATATTTCTATTTATAACTCTTTGGTAATGGATTAGAAATTGCAAAAAAAAAAACCTGTGTTTTATGGGAAATTTTGTAGGGAACAAACATAATAGTGTTAAGCGAGATTCACTGCTCTGAGTACCGGCCCTTGTTAAAAATATCGGTGACATAAATGTCTTTGTATGACTGTATTAATAACAGCATCTTCATCTAGTGACTGCAAACTGTCAGAAACGCATGCAATCTGTAATTCCCATTAAGATGTCTGACATACTTAATTTAATACAAAATATTCACATTTCAGCAACTTCCCCTTTTTATGAGGAGTCCTTTGACAGGTCCTGAGGCTACCCAGCCTGTGTGTCCCCCTCTCACTGACATTTTACACTGGCACATGTATTAAATGATCCCGAGGGAGAAAAGGGAACATCCCGCACAGTGGGAGAGAACTAACTTTTGCAGCCGGCAGACTGGGTGCAGGAAGACCCGGCTAGGTGCAGAAGGCAGGCCCCTACGTGCACAACCGGTGGAGATCAAAAAACCAGCCTGTGCTTTAAAACAAAACAAAGCAAAAAAAGGGAGCTAAGCTTCGAAAACTGTTTAAACCTCAAATTAGCCCGTTCCCCTGCTGTTAGCCCTAGTCTCGGTGGCAGGAAAGGCAGGCTGAGGGCGGGGAAGAGGAGAGGTCCGCAATTCGCGCTCGTTACCTTGAGAACTCTTTGCTTTCTCCTCTGAGGCCTTTTGTTTTCAGTCAGAACCTAGAAGACATCAAATTGCAGAACACGTTGCAGTTAGCAAGGCTCGCCCCGTGCTACGCCCCAGCTGCCAGGCCGGGGACACCCATCCGGCTCCCCCTGGGCGCCGCTGCGGCG